ACGGATTCTCCATAGGTCTAGGACAGTATCAGGCAAACTCCCACACTCGTGCTCTCTTTGAGGGTAATTTATGTGTAAAACTGCACAAAAGAGTGGCTGTCTGCCCGAGCCTGGATTAGGACATATCGTGATGAATTTTGTGGTAGTTTTATCTATCTATGTATATAAAAGAGCTTAGTGTTAAGTGAGTGAGTGACTGACAGACTGACTGAAATTTTCAGTGTATGTTGTTGTTGGTGTGTAGGCGTAAGATAAGGCTGTGTTTTTGGAATTACGAACTAGAAGGGTACGAATAATACTAAAATGTACCAAATATGGTACTGTTTGTATTAGTAGGCGAACGGGAAGAGCTAGAATTCTGAAATTTGGAATGTGGGTCATTGATGTATAGTTAGGAAGATGTACAAAAGGGTTTTTGCAAATTCGTACTAGAACTGTACGAAAAGTACTAAAAAATACTAAATGTGATACCATTTGTATTTGGCGAACCGGTAGAGCTAGAACTCTGAAATTTGGATTGGTGGTCGCTGAGTGTAGGATAAATGTACCAAAGGGTTTTTGGAAATTCGAACTATAACTATCCGAAAAGTACTAAAATGTACTTAATTTGGTACAAATTCGTAGCATGTGAATAGATAGAGCTAAAGACTTGAAATGTGGAATGCTAATTAGGGTTGAAACGTAGAGTCTATTTAAGGAGATGGTTTTGAAAGCGGGTACTCATGTGTACGAAAAGTACTATATGATACAATGTTTGGTACAAATTTAATTTGGAGATACAAATCGAGCTGGAATCCTGAAATTTGAAATTAACATTACCGTCGGAGTGTACGATTAGGAATGTACGTAATTTTTAGAATTTTTTTACTCATGTGTACGAAAAGTACTAAATCGTACTATAGAGAACAATGAAATTTGAAGTCAGGATCATTTTTACTAATGTGTACTAAATTTGGTACAATTTTAATTGTGGGTGAACCGATAGAGTTGGAATCCAAAATCTTGGATTTAGGATCACTCTGAGGGTGAAAGTTTGGATTAAGTAGGACGTTTTGGAACTTCGTACTACTGTGTACTTAATTTGGTACAATTTGACTTGTGAGTGAACCTATCGAGTTGGAATCCTGAAATATGGATTTAGGATCACTGTCCAGGTGTAGCATTGGGGTATGTAGGACGTTTTGGAAATTGGTACTACTATGTACTAAATTTGGTATGTTTGGTATGAAGGAAGTTTTGGATATTCGTACTTGTGTGTACTAAATTTGGTACAATTTGAATTGAAAGTGAACCGATAGAGTTGGAATCCTAATACTTGGATTTAGAATCACTGTGGGGGTGTAGAATTGGGGTTTGTAGGAAGTTTTGGAAATTGGTACTACTGTGTACTAAATGTGGTACAGTTTAATTGTGGGCGAACTGATAGAATTGGAATCCTGAAACTTGTATTTAGGATCACAGTGAGGGTGCAGGTTTGGGGTAAGTAGGAAGTTTTGGAAATTCGTACTGCTGTGTACTAAATTTGGTACAATTTAAATTGTGGGTGAACCATAGGAATCCTGAAATTTGAATTTGGAAACATTATGGGGGTTTGGATCGTGGTATGCAGGAAGTTTTGTTGGATGGTTGACGTGGGTACTCTTGGAAATAATGTGTGCTAAATGGAACTAAATTTGCTCGAATGGACATGTTTTACAAAAATATTCCTTATTCGATTTCCTGAAGAAATAATCCTCAAAACTTCAGAGTTACCAACAAAAAATTAATAACGCCACTGAAAATCTTCACCTATAAGAATTTTTATTCTCCTAGGTTATTGACAAAGGTTTTCATCCCATAATGAAATTTTCACCCCAGGACAATGAGCTCGATTATTTGTAACAGTGTTATTTATTAAAATGGAAATGGGAAAAACGAATACTGTAGATATCGGATATAAGCACATCTCATATAAGAAAACATCGCATATAAGAAAGATTATCAAAAACACCGAGCCTATACTTTCTTATATCCGATAATTCCATATAAGAAAAAAACGCATATAAGAAATAAATCTCCGGTTTTTTTTGAGTTTCTTATATCCGATATCTACTGTATCCTTTTTTCTTAGTCAATATGATTTAGTCACTTCGATATTTGCGGTTTTCAAGTAGTGAAGACCAACAACACGATTTTTTATTGGTTTTAACTTTAAATTTCGTTACACCCTAATACACACTTAAACAATTTATTGTATCAAATTTTTTCTTTCGAAATTTGTTTTTCTTAATTCTCTGTTAGTTTGTCTTTGTCAAGACGTTGTTCGATTCAATACTTCTTTACACCAAAGAAAAAAATTGAGTCTCCTTCAATTTGATGTTTTCATCACGTCACAGCGTTTTCTAAATAAATAACCTAAAGCACGTAAAGGCACGTGTACAGCAAGCGTGATGCATGCTGTCGTCGATAAGTATGCTGCCTATCTCCAAGGAGTTGTAATGATCCGAATGTGTTGAGTTTGGAAGATGTTATTATTGCTCTTCCTAGTTGAGGGAGGATGGGTGCAGGGTGAGGATGTTCTATTATTTAAAACAAATAACTGTTATTAATATTTTTATTTATTTAAAAAATGTAATTTTGAATTTTTATTTTGCTTTTTGAAGAGATTGAATATAAGAAAGGAATTTTAACAAGAAATAGGAAAAATGTATTTTGGTTGCTTTATTATTTATTTATATTGATTAGATATTTTCCAAAAAAAAATATTTAAAACCAGTAAGGAAAGTAGTAAAGTCGGACGGAGCCGACTATATGATACCCTTCACCACTTTGGTTATATTGTACATATGTATCCTAACAATTGCATGTCAATGTTCCAACTTTCTCCAACCTATCCTAACTTTAATTTCATTCCAGCAGATTTAGAGCCGCCTGCGTAACATGGGGAAATTTTATGGAAAACGATTTATTGCAAAATTGATACACGCTATTCGGTACGCCGCGTTGTTAAAATATAATCTATATGTGGGAGCTATATCTAAATCTGAACCGATTTTCACGAAAATTAACACACATCTCTCTAGACTTAATTCAGTACGCTATGTCAAATTTTGTGCAAATCGAAGGATATATATAGGGACCTTGGTGCACCATTTACATAAAATCGGACGAAAATATATATGAGAGCTATATCTAAATCTGAATCGATATCCACGAAATTTAACACAAATCGTTTTAGTCTTAATTCAGTACGCTGTGCGAAATTTCGTGCAAATCGAAGCATATATAGTGACGTTGGTGCATAATTTACATAAAATCGGACGAACATATATATGGAAGCTATATCGAAATCTCGACCGATTTTCCCGAAATTCACAACTCATCATTCTAGACTCAATTTAGTACGCTAAGCCAAATTTTGTGCAAATCGAAACATATATAGGGACTTTGGTGCACTATTTACCTAAAATCGGACGAAAATATATATGGGAGCTATATCTAAATATGGACCGATTTTCACGAAAATTGGCAGACATCATTCTAGGCTCAATTCTGTATGTTATGCAAAATTTCGTACAAATCGAATGATATTTAAGGACTTTGGTGCACTATTTACCTAAAATCGGACGAAAATAAATCGTTCTAGACTTAATTCAGTACGCCATGCCAAATTTCGTGCAAATCGAAAGATATATAGGGACTTTGGTGCACTATTTACCTAAAATCGGACGAAAATATATATGGGAGCTATATCTAAATATGGACCGATTTTCACGAAAATTGGCAGACATCATTCTAGGCTCAATTCTGTATGTTATGCAAAATTTCGTACAAATCGAATGATATTTAAGGACTTTGGTGCACTATTTACCTAAAATCGGACGAAAATAAATCGTTCTAGACTTAATTCAGTACGCCATGCCAAATTTCGTGCAAATCGAAAGATATATAGGGACTTTGGTGCACCATTTACATTAAATCGGACGAAAATATATATGGGAGCTATATCTATATCTGGACCGATTTTCAGGAAACTCTACACACATCACTCCTTGCGTAATTCATTACGCTGTGCCTAAGTTCGTGCAAATCGAAAGGTATATAGCGACTTTGATGGACCATTTACATTAAATCGGACGAAAATATATACGGGAGCTATATCTAAATCTGAACCGATTTTCAGAAAACTTAATACACATCATCCTAGACTTAATTCATTACGCTGTGCCAAATTTCGTGGAAATCGAAATATATATATAGGGACTTTGGTGGACATTTACATTAAATCGGACGAAGATGTATGGGAGCTATATTTAAATCTGAACCGATTTTCACGAAACTTTGCACACATCATTCTAGACCTAATTCATTACGCTTTGCCAAATTTCGTGCAAATCGAAATTTATATAGGGGCTTTGGTGGACATTTACATTAAATCGGACGAAAATATATATGGGAGCTATATCTATATCTGGACCGATTTTCAGGAAACTTAACACACATCATTCTATACATAATTCATTACACTGTGCCAAATTTCGTGCAAATCGAAAGATATAGAGGGACTTTGGTGGATCATTTACATTAAATCGGACGAAACTATATATGGGAGCTATATCCAAATCTGAACCGATTTTTCCCAATTTCAATAGGGTTCCCCCTTGGGCCAAATAAGTGCGCTATGCCAAATTTCATCCAAATCGGATCATAAATGCGACCTGTACTTTGTTCACAAAAATACATGGATGGACAGACGGACCGACGGACAGACAGATGGACATGCGTAAATCGACTAGAAAGTGATTCTATGCAAATCATCAAAAGGAACCATGTGTCTATCTCGTTTCATTTTGCCTGTTACAAACATATGCACAAAGACATAATACCCTGTACCACAGTGTGGTGAAGGGTATCAAAATCAGAGACTTGATTTTTAAAAAAATCCTCGCCTTGCTAATTTTTTGAAAAATAATTTAAAATAAATTTGTTTAATATTTTTATTTTTCTTCTCTTCTTTCCAGCACAAGGGCGTGCACCACCCGAGCCCTACTATGGTCGTTTCATCGGTAACTTTACAAATTTCGCTCATGGCATAAATGTAAGTATTAAAAAAACCCCAACAAAATAAAACAACAACTCTAACAAGAACCTCAATAACAAACTTTAGTTTTGTGGTTTTGGCTTAACATTTTTCTGTTTCTGTTTTATTTCGAAACAACTTTCATTTGAATTCCTGCTCCCGCACTTCTTTCACTTCTTGATAATTTGTTGTTGTATTTTTCTTCTCCTTTTTCCTTCCAAAAACAGGGTGCCGTTTATGCTGTGGACGAATCAACGCTCTTCGTCAAATCCTTTGGCTACGATGGCACGGGACCGGATGCCTTCTTCTGGGTTGGCAAAACACCGCGACCAAGTCCAGAAGGATACATTATACCCTATCCAGAGGATTATGCTGGATTGTAAGTAGAGACTGATATGTACATATATACGTTATGTCATTCAAAATATTACTCATGCTCATGCACGCAAAAAAAATATATATAATTTCCTTCCGTATGTGTGAGTGGAGGTATGGTTTCAATTTCAAAATTTTTAATGCACTTTCCATTACGACGAATGAATGAATAAAAAAAGTGGACTGAAGGCAAGAAAAAATTATGAAATACGTTAAAGCGCATTTCCTCCGTTACTTTCCTTTCCGTTGTAACTGTAAATGGGTGGTGGTGTGGACTAAGGTCTACGGGTGTGGGAAATTTAAGTGAGTCTCCCCTTCTCTTCTCTTCAGGATTTTAAACATTCCTACCGATGGGTGGCATTGAAAGCTTGTGGTTGGTCCTTTTTTGGTGGCTAGGTATTTGTGTTGGTGTGTGTGAGTGGACACTTTTTTTGGTTGTGGGTACTGTGGCGAAAAAAAAGGACCAGTGTTTCAAAGTTTGTAATTCCACCAGAAAATATTTTTGTGGTTATTCTGAATTGTAAAGGAATTTCAAAGAGAGTATAAAAAAAAAATATTTTTAATTATAAAAACAAATTAAAATAAAGCATAAGCCCTCAAAGGAGGGGTAATAAGGGTCGTCCGCAAAAAGATGGACATAAATAGGAAATAGAAAAAGAAAAAAAAAATAAAGAAGAAAATTAAATAAAAGAAAAATTCTTTAAAAAAATCCACGCCTATTGGCCTCATAGAGCCTTAGAAACTTTTTTTTTAAAATCCACGCCCATTGGCCTCATTGAGCCTTAGAAACTTTTTTTAAACCACGCCTTTTTAAAAATCCACGCCTATTGGCCTCATAGAGCCTTAGAAACTTTTTTTTTTAAATCCACGCCTATTGGCCTCATAGAGCCTTAGAAAAATTCTTTAAAAATCCACGCCTATCGGCCTCATAGAGCCCGAGAAAAATTCTTTAAAAAATCCACGCCTATTGGCCTCATAGAGCCTTAGAAAAATTCTTTAAAAAATCCACGCCTATTGGCCTCATAGAGCCTTAGAAAAATTCTTTAAAAAATCCACGCCTATTGGCCTCATAGAGCCTTAGAAAAATTCTTTAAAAAATCCACGCCTATTGGCCTCATAGAGCCTTAGAAAAATTCTTTAAAAAATCCACGCCTATTGGCCTCATAGAGCCTTAGAAAAATTCTTTAAAAAATCCACGCCTATTGGCCTCATAGAGCCTGAGAAAAATTATTTAAAAAATCCACGCCAATTGGACTCATAGATCCTGAGAAAAATTATTTAAAAAATCCACGCCTATTGGCCTCATAAAAAAAATTATTGGCCTCATAAAAAAAATTATTAAATTATTTAAAAAATCCACGCCTATTGGCCTCATAGAGCCTGAGAAAAATTATTTAAAAAATCCACGCCTATTGGCCTCATAGAGCCTGAGAAAAATTATTTAAAAAATCCACGCCTATTGGCCTCATAGAACCTGAGAAAAATTATTTAAAAAATCCACGCCTATTGGCCTCATAGAGCCTTAGATAAATTCTTTAAAAAATCCACGCCTATTGGCCTCATAGAGCCTGAGAAGTATTCTTTAAAAAATCCACGCCTATTGGCCTCATAGAGCCTTAGAAAAATTCTTTAAAAAATCCACGCCTATTGGCCTCATAGAGCCTGAGAAGTTATTTTTTTCATTCTCATTTTATTGTGGTTTTCATTTATTAACTTCGAACCGAACCATATGAATTCAAATCGTCGAAAAGCAACAACAACAACAATAAAAATAAAAAATGCTTTTTAATTTCTCAAAGTGGTTTTTGAGAATTGTTAAGCGTGCGTAACACATAATAATGGGCAACCGCTGTATCATTACAACAGAAGTTCGCCGAATCTAAAGGGGGAAGTGTTTTTGTTCGGAAATAAAAGCGGTGAGTGGACGAAATGAATGTTACAAATGAATGAAAGACTGGGTGAGTTGTGAGTGTACATTAGCACAAGTGGAGCGCAAAAAAGGGGCGAAATGAAAGAAAGCCTGCAGTCAACACTCGCAACGGCAATTTAAAACTGTCAAATCTGCTGACATTCACATTCGCCTGTCAGGCCAATAATAAATGGCATCGCTATGAATTAAAGAAAAAAGTTCGGAAAAATATAAAGTCGGGGATTTTTGAAAAATAAAATGTTTTTTAAAAATATAATACAAAATATCAAGGCGCGCATTTTTTTTAAATTATTTTGTGAGGGAAGTGGCAAGGCCTGGATTCTTTAAAAATTATTTTTGAGGAAAGTAGCAAGTATTTTATACCCGTTCACCACACTGTGGTACAGGGTATTATGTCTTTGTGCATATGTTTGTAACAGGCAAAAGGAAACGAGATAGACCTATCGTTCCTTTTGAGAATATGCATAGAATCTCGTTCTGAGTCGATTTATTCATGTCCGTCTGTCTGTCCGTCCGTCCATGTATTTTTGTGAGCATAGTACATGTCGCATTTATGATCCGAATTGGATAAAATTTGGCATAGGTCACTTATTTGGCCCAAGGACGAACCCTATTGAAATTGGGAAAAATCCGTTAAGATTTAGATATAGCTTCCATATATATTTTCGTCCGATTTAAGTAAATGGTGTACCAAAGCCCCTAAATATCTTTCGATTTGCACGAAATTTGGCACAGCGTAATGAATTAGGCCTAGAATGATGTGTGTCAAATTTCCTGAAAAACGGTTCAGATTTAGATATAGCTCCCATATATATATTTTCATCCGATTTAAGGTAAATGGTGTACCCAAGTCCTTATACATCTTTCGATATGCACGAAATTTTGCATGGGGTACTGAATTAAGTATAGAATGATGTGTGCTAAGTTTCGAGAAAATCGGTTCAGATTTATATATAGCTGCCATACATATTTTCGTCCGATTTAAGGTAAATGGTGTACCCAAGTCCCTATACATCATTCGATTTGCACGAAATTTGGCACAGCGTAATGAATTAGGTCTAGAATGATGTGTGTTAAGTTTCCTGAAAATCGGTTCAGATTTAGATATAGCTCCCACATATATTTTCGTCCGATTTTTAGAAAATTGTGCACCAAAGAGTGTAATTTAGTTCGATTGGCATGAAATTTTGCTCAACGGGCTGAAATTTGGATAGCGTAAGTTGTGCCAAGTTTCACTGAAATCGGGTCAGATTTAGATATAGCTCCCATATATGTTTTCGTCCGATTTTTAGTGAATTGTGCACCAAAGAGTTAAATTTAGGCCGATTGACACGAAATTTGGCACAACGTACTGAAGTTAGGACAGCCTTACGTGTGCTGAGTTTTATTGAAATCGGTTCAGATTTAGATATAGCTCCCATATATAGCTTCATCCGATTTTATGTAAATGGAACACCAACGTCGCAATTTTTGTCGGCTTTTGACTAAATTTGGTACAACGTTTGTAATTGAGACTAGAATAGAGTGTGTTTTTCATTGAAATCGGGTCAGATTTAGATATAGATCCCATATATAGCTTCGTCCGATTTTAAGTCAATGGTGAACCAAACTCCCAATTTTTGTCCGATTGAGACAAAATTTGGCATAACGTAGGTAATTGAGACTAGGATAGAGCGTGTTAAGTTTCATTGAAATCGGATAATATATAGATATAGCTCCCATATATCGGGCGTACGATTTTAAATAAATGGTGCTCCGAACTCCCAAGGTTTTTTCGATTGAAACTAAATATTTTCGTCCAATTTCATGCAAACGGTGCTCCGAGGAGCTTATGTTTGGTGGCGTTACATGAAATATTGTAGAGAGTATTTGAGAGGATAGATGCACCCAAAATGGTGAAGGGTATCATATAGTCGGTCCTGTCCGACTTTACTACTTTCCTTACTGGTTAAAAATATATTTGAAAAAAAAAATCAAACAAATGTCAAATTTTCCACGTTTTCCTTTCGAAAAATAAATAAATTTTCCTGTAAATAAATTTTCCTATCATACTGTGTCCTTTCCAGTGCGTAACAAAACTGCTACAGCCAAGGTTAGTAGTCTACAATTGACATAATATTTAGTAGGGACAAGTGGTTTTGAGAGGATCTAATCCATCATTAACTGCAACATGACAGTTGAACATTGAAACTAGGCCTGGTTAATTGTCTATTATTTGTTTGACATTTATTCTGAACACACACACCCTCTCACTCACATATATGCAAATTAAGAAGGAGGCCACTTTAAGTGGACCCTGTCATCAACGTTGACAGAAAAACACGATACAAGATATCATCTACAAACAAACATACATCAAAAGTATGCAAATTATTATCAAACACATACTCACACACACATACACACATGTTTGATATTTTTCGATTTTAATCCTTGCTTTATTAGGCCTGATATACATATAAACTAAAAATGTATAGAAATAAGCGTACATATATTTATTTATGTGCATATGTGTGTGTGTTTGTTGGAGATTGTGTTTCTGTGTGTGTATGCTCAACAATGTGTTTATTTTTCTGCTCCTTTCTTTTGGCATTCTTTTTTTTTTTTCTTTCTTTCGAACTTAATCCTTTGGATTAAGTTTTTCAGTAGTTCCTCAATATTCTTCTCAAGATGTGTGGTTGAGTGTGTGAGTGAGTATGTGTGCATTAGGGCTCACTCTTTCTAAATGACGCTGACATTGATGGCAATGTGTTTTTTCCTGCATCGTTTTGTTTTCTTTATTCTTGACTTGATTTCATTTTCTTCTTATCCCATCGTTGTTGTGGCATCAAAAAACTTTCATCAACAAAACCTTGGTGGTGGCGTCACATACTTCACATGCCACCAAAACAACAACAACGACAACATCAACTACGATTTTCAACGGATTTGTGCATTCCGCAATCTGTAACCCAGATTTGAGTTTCTTTTTTTTTTTGGTTAATTCTGTTTGTTTATTCGTTTCACTACGTGCAACTCAATGCCAGGTTGATTTTTATGAAATAGGAAAATAAATCGAAAAAAACAATTTGCTAGGAG